CCGGAAAAACTTCACAAAGGAGATGACATCATGAGGAAAGAGCATTGTGTGGAAAACTGAAAGACATCCAGACCTCAGCCAAGACGTTATAGAGGATTAGAAACGGATGAGAAAACAAGGCCCAGTTTGTCATGACACTTTGCACAATTAGCTCCACACCTTTAAGCTCTGAAAACATCGTCTCATTTGGTTTGAGTCAAGTCAAGACAAGTTTATTTTAACAAGGCAGTTCCTAGAGCTTTACATCATGATAGCATCATAGAGTTAATATGAAACCAGCAATAGGCTCAATGTTCCTGTGAAGGTTTGATCAGAACTCTGTAGAAGGAGCCTCGTAGTTTCAGGTTCCCCCAGAGCGCTGACTGCCGCCTCCCTGAGGGGGAAACAGCAGCAGATAACCACGTCAGAGCTGAGAAACAGATTTACTGCTACTGAGACGCCTCATTTTTAATGATACCTGAAATATGTTGATGATCTGGGATGAGAAGGAGATTCTGACTGCAGTTGTTTTGACAGGAAACTAGCGCTCCCAGTCTGTTTACAGCAACAAACTGCAAGCTGTTAGCCGCAGAAGCTAAAGTCTGCAACATTAAAGTTTCTAACTGAAAGCCTGTTTCATTCTCTGCATCTCTGTTTAATATCGTGCTTGAACTTTAATAACAGCTTAGGGTGAAGATTTGAAGTGTTTTGTGTGTTTAGGTTTAATTTGTTTTGTTAAACTCTTGTAGCTTCTTGCCGTTCAGATAACAGCAGCTGCTGAACTTAAACCTTCATCTATTATTTAACACCTAGGCCTCATCAGGCAGGTGTTCATAAATAATAACTGAAACTGAACCATTTTGCATTTTCTTCATAAGCAAGTGGTGCCGCAACTTGGCCCATTTGATCTAAGATACTATTTTTGTTGAAGTAATAAAGTAATTAAATCAGATGTTATTAGATAACTCTACACTCCAACAGCAGGAATGAGGTCCAGTCCCAAGTGACAGAGGGAGGTTGGGTTCTTGGTCACAGATAATGAAAAACCAGAGCTGAGATCAATAGGTGGATTCAAGCGTTATTAGCAGTGACGTACTGGTCTGAATTTAGTGGAGAAATTTATCGTTAAATTATTATTTTTACATTTACACGTAGATGTTTTGAGTATTGACCAAAAGAACAAGATCAGGAACATTTGGTTCCAAACCACCAGTTCAAAACACGAAGCATAAATGACGACGAAGCGTTATTTTGAGAAAGTAATGTTTCATTGAATCATTTCTGAATTAGAAATGATTCCAATTCAGAAATGATTCAATTGGTTAAATTGGTTAAATTACAAATAAGTCTGTTATTTTTTATCTGTGAATGAAATCAAGCAGAATTCAAGCGTCTAAAACAACCAAAAACAGCTGAATGGTTAAAGCTCTTCTCTGTTTCTGGTTCTGTAACAGAGTCATGATCTGATTTCTGCTGTAACTCTCAGCTATTCTGCACATACTGGAAAAACAGGCAGGCTTAGGCACGTCTAAGATAAACCTCACAGCCCTTCCTGGGAACGGAGGTGTGACGTTTCGTATCCTGTAAACACGTCTCTGTTTCCTCCTCCTCTGCAAAAGAACTGAAACGCCTGCAGTCGTTGTTACTGAGAGCTGAAATGGAGCACAGAGGACTTCAGTTAGACCAAAGTAACTTCTCCTGTTCCATCTGTTTGGATCTACTGAAGGATCCGGTGACTATTCCCTGTGGACACAGTTACTGTATGAACTGTATTAAACACCACTGGGATGGAGAAGATCAGAAGAAAATCCACAGCTGCCCTCAGTGCAGGAAAACCTTCATACCAAGACCCAACCTGGAGAGAAACTTCATGTTTGCTGCTTTAGTGGAGGATCTAAAGAAGACTGGACTCCAGGCTGACCACTGCGCTCGTCATGATGACAGGATGAAGATCTTCTGTCGCATGGAGGAACATAAAGGCCATGAAACAGTCCCAGCTGCAGCAGAAAGAGATGAGAAGCAGAAGAAGCTCCAGGAGAGTCAACAACAAATCCATCAGAGAATCCAGGACCAAGAGAAAGATGTGAATCTGCTTCAACAGGAGGTGGAGGCCATCAATGTCTCTGCTGATAAAGCAGTGGAAGACAGTGAGAAGATCTTCACTGAGCTGATCTGTCTCCTCCAGGAAAGAAGCTCTGATGTGAAGCAGCAGATCAGATCCCAGCAGGAAACTGAAGTGAGTCGAGTCAAAGATGTTCAGGAGAAGCTGCAGCAGGAGATCACTGAGCTGAAGAGGAAAGACGCTGAACTGGAGCAGTTCTCACACACAGAGGATCACACCCAGTTTCTCCTCAACTACCCCTCACAGCACTCAGTGAGTCTACAGGATCATCCAGCATCAACATCCGTCCTCTGAGACACTTGAGGACGTGACAGCAGCTGTGTCAGAGCTCAGAGACATCGTACAGGACGTCCTGAGAGACACATGGAGAAACATCTCACTGACAATCACTAAGGCGGATGTTCTACTGGCAGAACCAAAGACCAGAGAGACGGACTCTTACATTATTCAAAGGAGATCACTCTGGATCCAAACACAGCAAACAGGAATCTGTTCTATCTGGGGGGAACCGAAAAGTAATAAGGATGATGCAACAACAGTCTTATCCAGGTCGTCCAGAAAGATTCACTGATTATAAGCAGGTCCTGAGCAGAGAGAGTCTGACTGGACGTTGTTACTGGGAGGTGGAGTGGACTGGGAGAGGAGTCGGAGTAGCAGTTTCATACAAGAGCATCAGAAGATCAGAAGGATTTGGATTCAATGACCAATCCTGGTCTTTATATTGCACCAAAGACGGTAACACATTTTTCTTGATGACATTGAAACTGTACCAGGTCCAGTTTCCTCCAGGGTGTATCTGGACCACAGAGCAGGTGTTCTGTGTTTCTACAACGTCTCTGGAACCACGACTCTCCTGCACAGAGTCCAGACCAGATTCACTGAGCCTCTACATGCTGGGATCTGTGTTTATAACGGATCCTCTGCTGAGCTGATCGGACCTCAGCAGTCATCACTGACCTGAAGTCCAGTGGTTTCAGTTTCTTTGTCCCATCACTGTTGTCATTTCCTCACTGCTGAGACATTTGTCCTCTTGTTTGTTTTGTTGATGTTGGAGTTTGTTTGGGTGCTGCCCTTCCTGTTTCTGTTCACCTAAAATAATAATATCTATGCTTATTGGACATAAAAAGTGTTTTAATACAATGTCTATAAGTTAATAATGACATTTGCTAAATCGACTGACTGTACTGATTGATTGACATTTTGTTTATTGCTTTGTCAGACCAAATTCATGTAAAGATGAGCTGATGTACTACTTATTAGCATTATCAACGAGTAATTATTTTATTGGACAAAGATGAAACTGTGTATATAAAGTCGTTTTGTGCCTCAGATTGTTTGTTTTGGTCCATTGACCAGGTTGACTCACTGTCTGAATAAACATGAGGAGTCTGTAATTTAATGTTTATCACATTTTATCATCATGTGCTATTTATAAAAGTTATTTTAAGGTAATTTTGAAACATTTCCAAATATCAGAATCAGTTATGGTTTTCAGAGTTTCCTATCTGCTGATGTCAGGAGTCCAGATGGTCCAGATGGTCCAGATGGTCCCACAAAGACACAACAGACTCTGACTCTGTAGGGTTTTACATCTCTGTGAGGACGCATGCGCTGTGAAGACAAGGCTGAGATAACAATGCAGAGAAACCTCAAAGTTGACCACCAGATGGCGCCAAATACCACACTGTTCCTCATGAATGTAGTTCAAGTTTTGTGTTTAGAAGATGAATTAAACAAAAATACTAAATGTTTTTCACATCTAGGGTTTCTGAAAAGGTTTTTGGGTAATAAATTGTGGTTCATCAGCATGACTGAGAAAATCCATCCATTAATCTGACTGAAACTGTACTGAAAATATTTCATTTAAAGATCCTCAGCTTCAACCTTTGACCTTTGTAGTTCAAAAGATTATAGCTTAAAACTAATTTTAAAAAAAGGTGTTTAACATTTCTTGCTTAAACATTGTTTATGTTTTCTATGTGAATTCTGTCCTTTACATGTAAATTAATAAATCAACTTTCTTTACACCAGTAGGTAGCTTTTGTTACAATGATGTCAGACAGAAAAAAGATTTAATTGGCGTTTTTTTTTTTTTTTTTGTCTGTTTGTTTTTGTTTTAACTGTGAAGTACTTTGGAAAAAAATGTTCTAGGAAAATATGCCAGATAAACTCGTTATTTTAAAAAAAATAATAAATATGTAGAGGTAAATTATTTAAATCTAATATGTAAGATTAGAGAATTTTACCTACAGACCTTTAATCATGTTTGATTGAACAAGTTATGTAAACTAGATACTGAGTTGAAATGAATTAGCTGGTATTAATATAAGTTGAAAAGTAAATTAAATAAATTAAAAGCGGTCAATTTAAAGCGGATTTAAATCTGAAATTATTGTTGCTTTTTGCCTCTGAATTAAAAAACTCCAGTCGAAATTAATAGAAATATGTAGAATAATAATAGTTTTTTAATGTCAACAGTTTTCAAATTCTCGAAAGTAGTTGCCACTCACAATATGGCGGTCGCGCTGACGTAATTTCCGGGCACGTGTTTGGACTCCAGCTCTCCAGCCATCAGTTTGTACCTGAGTCAGTTTCTCCTCTGGTCTCGTCTGAACATGCTCCTGGTTTCTGATGGTTTCCTCCTGGATTTTGACCTTCTGGTTGTTCTGGACTCTGGTTGACGGTGAGTTTCTGCTGCTGCTCAGTCTGAGCTCAATAATAATAATAATAATATTAAAAAGAATTAATAACTTTTTCTGCGGTGATAAACGTTAAGTCCCGAGAACTGAGTTTAGAAAATAAAGTTTAAATTTGTTTTCTGTGGAGCTAAAGTTACTTTTATGTGTTTTCATAATTCTTATGTTTTTCACATGAATTGGATTTTAGTTTTATTCAACAGTGAATCAGCAGCTGATGACATATTTCACTGACTGGTGTAACTTCATCAGATTTCTATAGACCTTTAAGTTTGTTTTCAAATGTGACTTAAATTATTATGATAAGATCCTATCTCACAATAATTACTCATGTTAAATACTAATATTGTTTCATTGTTCAAAATCAGACATTTTTCTTTTGATTTCAGCAGTTTTACTTTTACTCTGATGATGCCTTTAGGTACTTTACAGAGCAACAATTAACAAAGTTTTGGTGAAAAGTTACCTGTTATACTTTAGAAAACCCCTGACATTTTTTATTGAAGTTGTTGATGTTTTTACTGTGACTGATGATGAGTCTTATGATCACAAAAACATCACACCTCTGGTTATGTGTGTGATTGACATGTGATTAATGACTCAGCAGTAAAATAATGAATCTCTGGCTGTTTGTATTGGACCACAGAGACATAAATACAGTTTTAACTGTTTCTCTTGTCTGGATAGAATATCTCAGAATATCTTCTCCCTACGGAGAAGCTTGACTCTTCTCCATAGGGAGAAGAGTCAAGCTTCCTGCATGACTCTCCTCCCTACGGACGTCTTCCTCTCATGACCTTCACTAAAAAAGGGAGCAACGCTGACCTGTACTTATTTGGACAAACTGCCCAGTTTGGATTTGGTTTGGATGATTAAGTGGAGCCGAAATGACGATGTGTTATTGGCAGAAAGCAAAAGGAAATAATCATACTTTAACCTTACTGTTCTAGAAACATCATTTTCCCTTTTCAACATTGTATTTTCACATTCTGGTGACCGGCTCACAGGAGCATAAAAGGTTCTGTTACTCAGCCGTTTGGACCGGGTTGTGGTCTCCATGACTCGCTGAGAATGAATCTAACTGCTCTGAATCACTGATTATCTGGAAGGAAAGCTCGTCCACATTCATTGGAAACAACGAGCTTCTGTTTGCATCATAAAAATAAAAATCCAGATTTTCCAAAAATTAAAATTTCAAAAATCAATTATTTTCTTAATTGATAAAATATAGATGGTTAGAAAACTTTGGATTTTCTCTCCAAATTTAAAGCAAAGCTCTAGAGGGGAAGCTAAAGGAGAACTGAATTAATTTAATGATTTACATGATAAAATAATAAAAATCATTAGTTGTTGATTCAGGTGAGAATCAACAACTGATCATGTCATGATCAGCTCAGCAGTTAATGACATCACTGATACGATCAGAAAGAAGACAGTAAAATTTTCTTTTTTCCACTTGTTTGCTTCCACTTCTTGATAAAATTCCCCCAAAATATGTAGAAATTGAAAATAGCAGCAATAAATCTTCCCTGTGTCCCCAGGGAGCCTCCATCTGATTGGTTCCTCTCAGCCAATCGTAGCTGCGCCTGGAGATGATGTCATCCTCCCGTGTCGTGTGGATCCTGAGTGGGACGCCGTGGGGATGACGGTGGAGTGGTCCCGACCGGACCTGAGGCCGTCCGGCCCTCAGAAGCGTGTGGAGTACGTGTTCGTGTACCGCTTCAGGAAGACGGACCGAGACATGATGATGGACACGTACATCCAGCGGACGTCTCTGTCCCAGGACGGCCTGCGGCGAGGAGACTTGTCTCTGACCATCCGGAACGTCAGCCTGCAGGACCACGGCAGGTTCCGGTGTTTCATCCCACGCCTCGGGATCGAAGCAGAACTTCTGCTTGTTGTTGGTGAGGAACGGGTCCAAACTGCAGGTTCTGTTCTGGATCTGTTGGAGTTTTTCTCATAAATCCTGTTATTGTTGCTGCTTCAGATCCAAACGTTGTTTCTACGACGGCAACAGAGACGGTTCTTCCCAGAAGCCTCATCATCACTCCGACGCCACAGGAGGAGGAAACCAGCAGCAACGGTGAGTCTGCAGGAACCAGAACCTTTCAGAATCACTTGTGGACCTGAATGTTTACAGGTAATTAATCTGGACTTTCTTTTCTGTTTCAGGTCACTGGACCAGATTCCATCTTTGCCTGATGTTTTTTCATTCTTCATCATTTGTATGGCTCCGATTTCCATTTGCATCTTTAGGAAATGCCGACAAATGCAGAAAGTGAGTCAAATTTCCTCTGAGAATCATTTATTTTCTCCATAATCATTGAAATTGAAAGAAAGTGTCGTTACTTGTAGTGAGAGGAATGTGAACCGTTGTCAGTCCATCACAGGACTCTTTAAATATCAAATATAAATGAATTCTCTCTTTATTATCTCACTGACTTCCTCCTGCTGCAGTAACTTTTATAAAACTATATGTGTACATATATATTTATTTCATGAGACATGTAATCTGTGAAAAAAATAATAAAACGCTCCTTTGCTTTCTCCCAGTGCTAACGAGAAATAACCAATCACTGCCAGGGGGCGGGTCTTAGGGCTGCCAATCAGCCTCCTTGCTTTCTGAGTTGAGATCTAAACATTTTATTTTAATATTAATTTCTTTTATTATTTCACAAGTAAGGCCTCAGTACTTCCTGTCTTACACAATCAGCAGTTTGCTGATCAGCAGGTTGGTCACTCTGTCACAAGTCGGCCATGTTGATGCAGATGACAGAACTTCCTCCAGAGGTCAGCAGGTCAGATGACCGGACTGACCTGCAGTCAGTCAGGACTGCAGGTTGTTTTCCTCATCACTGCGTCTCTTTCTCTTATAATAATGTTTATTGAATATGACGTTTCAGGTTCCTGTTATTATTATTGTTTTAGTTTCTCTGGTCCAGTTTTCAATTGAACTGGACTTATTCTGGGAATTAGTTGGGTTTTGTCTCTCTGTCAATGGACCAGCAAATATTTAATCAGTTTGACTCTAAATGGAAACATTTCATTCAGACTTGAAGCTGAACTCTTTATTCTGTGGTTTGTTCTTATTGTTGCTCTTCGTTCTGTTGAAGGCTTTTCGTCGCCCAAACCTTCGGATCGACACACGGATCGGTTCTGCAGAGGAACCAGTTCTGTTCCCAGACCAGAACCTGAACCTGGTCTAGCTGCTTGGATCCGGATCAGGAACAAAGTGACGTTTGGTTGTTGCAATTGTTCAAAATTCAGTGAGTGAAATGTTTACCAGGGATCACTGTCATTTTGTTGTTGTTTTTGCTGATTTCCATTTTGTTTTTCTATTAATAAAAATAAAAACTTTAATGAAAATAAACTTCAGATATTAAAGGGAATAAATACGTTTTTTTTTTGTAACGTCGGGTTTTGTTTAGAAACCAGAACCTGTTTGTGTTTCTCTGAGTGAAAGTTGAGGGTTGGAAACATTTCCTGTGTTAAATCTGATAAAATAACTGAAGTTAGCAGCGGCTGAAGCTGCGACGCGTCTGATAGGTCCAGCATCAGAGCCACGCCTCAAACTGCTGACTTTTCATTTCTGACCTCTTTAGTTTGAATGTTTACTGGCTCAACTTTATAATGAATGCTCAGTCTCTGTACATTCCAGGATTTTTATTTATTGAGCTATTTGTTACTTATTCAAATAAAATATTAAATATTTCAGTGATTTCTGTTTTTGTTTGTTGTTTTTTTAGCTCAGAGCTTCTGCAGCCAGCCTGTCACTGTTTGGTTCTGTGAGTTACACTGGACCCAGCAGTTCTGATGGAGAACTGACTGAACTCATTCTGCAATAATCCAAAATTTAACTCAACCTGTTTTACAGATTTAACTACATTTACCAGCCAAATGATGCAAACAGCTGCACAGAATAAATGCAGAAACTCCTCAGACTCAGGGATGAGATCTTACACAATTTACTGACATCAATGTTTCAGTGAAACTGTAACAGGACAAAGAAAGGAATACATATAAGTATTATTGCTGCAGTAACAATGTCAAAATCACTGCTTATACAATTTCTATGCACAGACTATTGATCTTAATTAGCTTAGCTTAATTAGCTTGGCTTGTTTGTTAGCAACAGGCTGAGTTTACTACAACATAAAAATGCATAATTTCACTACACATGAGAGTGTCTGCAATAACTATTCTCCTATGTAATTAATTCAATTTAAATGCTTTAGCAGACAGGAAAACAACATCAGCAGGGTTGAGGAAATGCCATGTGGCTACCAACAATGGCCACTAGATGGCAATGTTTAACAAAAATAAGTTAAAAGCGCAACGGGGTCGGAGGTGAACAAAACATTCATATTCAATAATCTGGCAGATTAACATCAAGAATCAAGAATCTTTAAGCAGGTTATAAACATTTTCAGAGTGTTTTTCATTACTGATGCAGGAAATTAATCTACACTTATTTATGTTCATTATCAGAATAAATAAACAAATAAACATAAAATAATTAGTTTTGTTTGTTACATAAATTATTGTTTTTTACCTTTCTTGAAGCTGGTTTTACTTCATTTGTTTCTCTTCAAGGAACTGGACTGAGGCCTGCAGCCCATCGGTTCTGATCAGGTCCAATCAAATAGAATCAGCTCCAGAATAATTCAATGTTGGAACTCATGCAGGATTAGAAGGAAACGACAGGAAGGACCTGCTCCAGCGGACCGTAGAACCCGATCAGAACCGGAACCAGACCCAGACCAGTGGACATGTCCCCCTGCAGCAGAGTCCACCAGAGGCCGTCCTCCTGTCCATTCAGACGGTTCTGCTCCGGTTCTGGACTCTGAACCAGAACCAGCTGCCAGCTGAAACCAGAGCTGGTATCGGGTCAGAACAGAACCGGATCTCAGGTTTTTGATGAAAGAACTGAAGGAAGGAAGTTTATTTGTCAGACAGTAAACACAACACCGTCACCACGGCAACGGCGTGTGTTACTTCCTGTTTGTCTCCATGGTAACCTGTGAAGGTGGACCTGGCCCCGCCCCTTCCTGCAGGTTGTTTCTGGATCCACAGTGAGTCTGCAGACCGACAACCTGAATGAGGGGCAACAAGTCAGAGTAACTCAGATTAACTCAGATTAACTCAGATTAACTCTGATTAACTCAGATTAACTCTGATTAACTCTGATTAACTCAGATTAACTCAGATTAACTCAGATTAACTCTGATTAACTCTGATTAACTCAGATTAACTCAGATTAACTCTGTATGTTGCTGTTCTGGGCCGATTGTCGTCCAGTCAGGCCGTTTATCTGCCACTCGAAGAGCCTCACGTAAAAACCAGAAGGGTCGAAGTTCAAACCACTGGCAAGCCGTTTCAACGCAGAGAAAACGGAGACGGTTTAAATCCAGACCAGATTTTATGATGATCAGGTTATTCTGGGTCAAAACCAGTGGGTTGAACAGAGACACATTTATTAGCTTTTGTGATGATAAATTATTGTGCCGAGGTGTTGATTAACGTGTCACAGATATGGAACAACACCGAGTCCAAAACTCTGCAGTCCAGTGACGTGACATTCATAAACGACCCGAGTCTGAACTTCTGTTTAGATACGACTGGAGTGAATATGTAATAAATAAAACACAAGAATGAAAGAGCCATGCAGAGCCATGCAGAGCCATGCAGAACCATGCAGAACCATGCAGAACCATGCAGAACCAAGCAGAACCATGCAGAGCCATGCAGAGCAGCATTGCTCATTGACTGTTTTCGTTCAAAGTGCAGCATTGAGCTGCGTCTCCATGCAGTGGGAGGAGACAGCTCGCTGAGCGTCTTGTGCCCGGTCACGTCTTGCTTGTTGCTCTTTGGTCGATGTTCATCGTTGAGTGTTTACAGTCAGATCAGAGTTTTGCCTCAGTTGCTGCATTTAATGCTGCAGACAGTGGTGGTTTCTGACATGAATGATAGGGGCAAATCATCCATTATCCTTTTAGATAAGCACAACAAAGAGTTGGCTAAATTTATTTCAGCTCTACGTATTTAATATCCAGGTGTTTTTATGGGATTGTGAATCTTTCAGATCTATTTGATTAGTAATTTAGATCATATTCCACATTTTATTGTGTTACGTCGCGCTCGGTGCTGGTCTTGGTCTGAACTCAGTTTCGGTGGTCTGGACTACAACACTGCTTTGACCCTCTCCACTGAACCGATTAATTCAGACTCTTGAGATTTTAGGAGGACAGGCTGCAGAACCAGACTTTGACTAGGCCACTCCAACACTTTGATTCAGTTAGATTATTTTAGATTACTAATAGTTTACGTTAGAAAACCAGGATAAATCTGTGAAAATGTTTCAGTTTGTCTGAACATTTCAGATTATTTTTGATGAAATTTTAATTTACTTGATCAAATAAACAAACAAACAAACAAAAAACAAGGAAAAAATGAAACTTTTAAAGTTTTTATTGGTCAGAAACATTCAGGAAGTTTTCATGTTCATTAACAATAAAAATAATTTAAACAGTTTCAGAAATGAAATGGGTTCTGCTGCACTGTTCTGGTCATGTGACACTGAGCCAATCAGAGAGCAGATTCAGGACAAAGTGGGCGTGGCTTCAGTTCAACAGCGAATCAGTTCTTCGGTTCATTCAAATATTTGATTAAAATAAATAAAAACAATAAATAAAGACAATAAAATATTAAATAAAACACTAAAATGAAAGCAGAAACATGATAAATGCTACATGGTTCATGTTCTCGTTTCTAAGGACAGAACCAGTGATCCCAGTAAACCCAGTAAACTCTGACCATCACCACCATCATTATCCAAAAATCCAGCCTGCACAGCTGACTGGTGTTACCATGTTTACAGCTCACCAACAGGAAATAAGGGACTGTCTCTAGTTCCGCCCCAGCCAGACGCTGCAGGTGCATCATGGGAAATGTAGGCTCCACAGCATCTTCTGCTCTGTGACCTTCGACCCAACAGCTTTGATCATTTTATTTCTAATATAAAGGAAATATTTCTGACTATAACAATAAACCTTTCACTTACTGTGGAACTTTTCCTGTTACTGATTAACATGCTATCTATCTATCTATCTATCTATCTATCTATCTATCTATCTATCTATCTATCTATCTATCTATCTATCTATCTATCTATCTATCTATCTATCTATCTATCTATCTATCTATCTATCTATCTATCCATCTATCTATCTATCTATCTATCTATCTATCTATCTATCTATCTATCTATCTATCTATCTATCTATCTATCTTGTGATGATGTCATCTTGTGATGATGTCATCTTGTGATGATGTCCTGTGAGGGTTCACTTCCTGTTTCAATCACGACTTCCTGTTTGGTCTGGACCCAAGTACTCGCTCTGAGTTGCGGATCAGGCCCAACCGGATCAGAACCAACACCTGACCACCTTAGGAAGTGATGTCACAGCTGTTCTGACTTCTGATTGGCTAACCTGACACATACCTGGCTAACCCTAACCTAACCCTGTCCTAGGTCTACCTGTCCCTATCTCCAGCCACACCTGGGCTCTGAGGGGGCGGGGCCACAGCAGGTAGCTGCAGCAGCATCTGAGCTGAGAGGATCTTTGTTGTTGTTCTGGTCAGACTGGAACGGCCTGATGAGGGGGCGGGGCCTTCTGCTCAGGTGAGCTGGTGTTCAAGGGGAGGAGCTTCACGAAGCCCTCGGACCTGCAGGTCTTCCAGGTGAAGACCAGAACCAGGAGGAGAACGACCACAAGCAACGACGAAGACCTGCAGCCAGAGGAGCCGTTAGCAACATGGCAACCCACAACATGGCAACCCCCACCGACCCAGCCAATCAGAAGCCAGACCGATGCAGCAGTCAGCCAATCAGAAGCCAGACCGATGCAGCAGTCAGCCAATCAGAGGTCTTCAGACAAACGTAAGCAGAACCACGCTGCAGCAAGCTGGCCAATCAGAGACCAGGAGTGAACCACCAAGTACCTGATTGGTGGAAACCAGAACCAGAACCAGGGTCAGAACCAGAACCAGGTCAGAAACAGAACCAGGGTCAGGACCAGAACCTGCACCAGAACTAGGTCAGTTTCAATTCCTCTAAGTTCTGGTTCTGGTTCTGATCCACTAATCCAGGTTGTGAGACTGAAGTTTGATAATCAGCTGCTGGGTCTGAGCTGCTAGTGGACCAGAACCGGTCGGTTTCAGAACCGCTAACATGAGTGATACTTACGCAGCACCAAGTCCGATCCAGAGGGAGAAGAACCTGAGGACATGAGAAGCAGGAGGTCAGAGGTCACAGGAGGTCAGAGGTGATGAGCCCCTTCCTGACGGTGCTGACCTTACCTCTCATCTGGGCCGGTGCTGGTACCAGTGTGGTTCTGTTCATGCAGACAGAGTCGGTGTAGGCAGAACATGGAACCACAGTCTTCTGGAGAGACTCTGGAGGACACAAGGAGACAGAACCGAGTCAGGACCAGAACCAGAACCGTAAACACAACTGGAAGCAGGAGCAGAACCGGGACCAATGGGTCAGAATTGGTCCTGGACGTCTCACCTGAACAGTCGGTGCAGGGAGAACATTTGGTTCCGTATCCGACTCCGTCCTGGACCGAGCAGTTCCTGGTCACATAGTGCCCTATTCGTCAGAACCAGAACCAGAACCTGCATCATCATCATCATCATCATCATCATCATCATCATCACCACCATCATCATCACCATCATCATCATCATCATCAGCTTTACCTTCTGGACATGTCTGACAGGTCAGTCTCCGTAACTGAGCAGAACTCGAGTCCAACATCATCAGCAGAACCACACCAACCTGGAAACAGAACCAGAACTGGTCAGAACCGATCAGAACCAAACCTGATCGGTTCTGCCTGTCAGAACCGGACCCATCCTGTAAGTCGGACTCTCTTTGTGTTGTTATCTGTAACCTTTGGAGCCTCTGCAGGTTTTTTTCCCGTTGCCTAACTCCGTATGAACCTATGAACACCAGACAAGATGAGGAGAACCGGACCAGAGCCAGAACCAACCAAAGACGTCCACCTGTCCTGGACTAGAATCTGGACCTCACAGGCAGCAGGACTTGCAGCTCTTTACACTGAGCCTGATGACTGAGCGGTTCTGGTTCTGGACCGGTTCTGAGCTGCTGATACTGCTCTGTGTCTCACCTGCAGTTTGTCCATCATGTTGGTCCAGAATCAGAACCAAAGCTTAGAGACCCGAGAGACGGAGGACCAGAGAGACTCCAGGACACAGCAGTGAAGGAGGCAGCCTGCAGGCTCCATAGATAAACATGACCATGTGACCACGCCCCCTGTTGGTGTGACCACGCCCCCTGTTGGTGTGACCACGCCCCACGTGTGGTACGCCCCCTACAGGAGCCGCCCTGTTCTCTCCCAGGAAGAGCCATATAAGGGCAGTGAGGCGTGCTGTGTCCTGTATCGGTTCTTTCTGCTGAAACTCGTCTGTCCAGATCGTGTTTGTCCTCTGGACATGTCCTCTGTGTCCTCTGACTCCCCTGTATGCAGAGGTGAGTCTCAGCTTCAGGAGCATGCAGGTGAACCTGGACGACACTGTTGCCATGGTAACATCACAACAAGAAACCACAGAGTCGTTCTGCCTGCAAGTCCAGTCCGGCGCACCTGTGAGTCCACCGTCAGTCCACATGTGACAGTGGACTCACGGTGGACACACGGTGGACGATCAGTCCACCATCACAGCTCACCTGGCCAGGTCGCATGTCCAGATGTCAGCAACATGGCTGCCTGATGCAGCTTCAGGTCTGACTGCTGCTCATAAAACACTGAGCAAGGATAACATCACCCATCATCCATCATCCAACCATCATCCAACCATCCAACCATCATCCAACCATCCAACCATCATCCAACCATCCGACCATCCAACCATCATCAAACCATCCAACCATCATCCAACCATCCAACCATCATCCAACCATCCAACCATCATCCAACCATCATCCAACCATCCAACCATCATCCAACCATCATCCAACCATCCAACCATCATCCAACCATCCAACCATCATCCAACCATCATCCAACCATCCAACCATCATCCAACCATCCAACCATCATCCAACCATCCAACCATCATCCAACCATCCGACCATCCAACCATAACCCCAGCTCCTCTGGGAAATCCCAAGGCATTCCCGGAAAAGAACCAAGGTCCGGTCCGGTTCTGTTTGGCTTTACTGATCCCTGAAATCAACACAATGCAGAGGCTCACTTCATTTATTCAGCAAAAGCAGCAGCACAAAAAGAATGAAGTCTGCTTGTTAAAGCAAACACCAGGCCCGGTTGCTGTTCGAGAAGGACAAACATGGCAGTGTCATCTTATTTAGAAATGGCACCATTGCACTCCAGAACTGAAGGGGCGCTATTTTCTGTATTATACTTGATAGCTTTATTTTCTTTTTAATCCGTGATATATTTTCACCTTTAGGAAAGAGTTTTTGTTACACAGGAGAGGAAGTGTCGAGGGAACTCCTCGCTGAGAATGATGGGAAGTTCCGCCCTCTGGTGGTGGAAGAAAGAAAGTACAACATTCATAACCCTAACCCTAATAAAAAAAACGGTACTGATTACAACTGTATTAATAATAATAAAATTGAAATTAAAAACTAAGTAACAATGAAACAATAACGGTAACAATATGTGCTATTATTGTAGAGATAATTGTAAAAACCACATTTAACCAGGATAAACAAAACAACAATTACAAAGTGTTGCCTGAATTTATTTCTAGTAAATATAATTTTCTAGAATTATATAATTCTAATATATTATATGATTCAATATAATATATTTAAAAAAATATTGAAAATTAACAGTGATTATTTAAAAAAAATCACTGTTTATATTTGATTATTTTGTTGTTCTGTAGTATTTCATTTGTTTATTTTCACTTAATTAGATCAAATAATTGTGTTGAATTAAAGAGAATAGTGTTTTAATATCGCACTGGAGGTGCGATATTGAAATTCACCACAAGGTGGCAGCAGTGGCCGTCAACCTGCTTCCAGGTCGGGTTATTCATAGGAATTTGGAGTTCAGATTATTTGACAGACTGGGATTGAAAATCTTTTTTTTTTTAAAGCATCAAATAACTCAACATTGGGTTCCCGTTTAACCCTGAATGTATGAAACGTGTTTATGTTTAAAGACAGAAATATATACTTTTTTCAGCAAATAAATCAATAAATGATCGACTTTACGGCAATTTATTTATGATATCAATCATTGATTCATCTTAAGTGAATTTTTTATGCTATTTTATTACATTTAATAATTTTCTCATTGTAAGTTTTTATATTTTGCTAATGAATTTTGTGAATTTATTTATTTTCTCTTATCGACGCTCTGATTTCCCAGCCACATTTAACAGCACCATGAGACCCCCTGTTGAGCTGTCCATGGTGCTGAAACACAAAACTCAGCTCCTCTTCTTCTTCTTCTTCTTCTTCTCTCTTTATTTTAACCTTTTATTTTCTACAAACAGCTGCTTTCATCAGTATTCTGACGTCACAGTTATAAGTCTAAGATCCCACATCAAAGGTAAACGTCTCGTGCTCTGTAGGGCGGCGCGTGGATGCTGGAGGGCGGCGTGTTCACGTGACAGAACAGTGAGGCTCCCTCCCTGCCAAAGATCGTCTATCTTCGACAGAGAACACTCCTGTGTGTTTACAAAACTTTAAGTAGATTTTTAAAAGAAATTTAAAATGTTTTTTGTGTAAAAATAAACGAATAAAGACCAGAGTTTGGTTTAAAATGAAAACCTGTGTGATGAAAAAAAAATCACTTTTATTGCTGACAATAATTTCATCCGAGATAATGTTTAGAAAAAAATACAGAAGAAAAGCAACATTAACCAAATTAGAAATATGATACAAAGTATAATTAGTTAATTACATCACAAATGCAAACATTGATACTTATTTACACATAATGAAGAGAAAAATAGACACTCGAGAAAGAAGAAAGAAAGTTTGATGTTTTCTTTTAAATCAATGACATCTGCATTAATTACACTGGAGAGTTTTTCAGATCACAGACTGAGTCAAAAAATTAAACATTGTTTCAAAATAGAATATTTATAATGTAATAATAATAACAATAATAGCAATATTTTTTATTATTTTGAAAATATATCTAATGTTATTTTTTATTTTTAAAGTCCCATTTTGAAGAATTAATTTCAAAACAATCTTAAATTAGATGAGTAATAAAAATTAACATATAAAAATTAATAGTGTGTAAATTTTATGAAATATCAGATTTAAATAATTAGTTCAAAATTATTCCACTGAGATTATTCATTTTCCAGCTCATTTCAAAAACTGCCCATACTTCCAGTTGGGGTGACTCATCTCTTCATTAGACGATCTGTGTCCGCCTGAAAATAGATCCAGCTGGGTTTGGTCTGACCATCATCATCCTCGCTGGCTCCTGTTTCCTCAGTTTCCTCGGGAAAATCGGACCGGATCCGCCGCTACCTGAAGGATTTACCGACACTTTCTCCTCTTAGCGCGAGTTAAAGCCTCCAGTCCGCCGGAAGTCGCCTGAAATCTCCATTTCCGCTGTTTCTTTCTGCCTGTGAAGCCGAAGAGAGGATGTCTGTCGCGGGGTTGAAAAAGCAGTTCCATAAAGCCACCCAGGTAAGAAGACAACATGTTCATTTATTTGTTACTTTTCAATGTTTGGGTTTTTTTCCCCGCAATAATTTCACCTTAATGCGCCTGAATGTGATGAAAGTCGCTTTATTTACTGAGACCTGAAGAGCGGCGAGGTAAACACTGAATCTCATTTGCTTCATTATCCACAAAACGCTCCAATTCTCCAGAAATATAGTTTCTAATATTTTATTTTATCCAATGAAAGCCGTGATCTGTTACTTGGTAACATTTCTGGAGATACATTTGCTCACATGTTCAGTTTATAATGTTTCTCTTTTTTAGATTTTTCAAATTAATTCTCAATGGTTGCTGTTTTATTGAGACCTTTGAGCAATTCTCGCAATATTTTGTGTGTTTTTAGCGTTAAAATGAGGGTGAACCCCCTTCTGTAACATTATGTAACAGTTTGTGCTGGAAGTCTGCAGAGCTGATTGGCTGTTGCTTCCAGCAACAGGGAATTCCCTCCATCCTCCTCCAGTCATCCCTCCATCCTCCTCCAGTCATCCCTCCATCCTCCTCCAGTCATCCCTCCATCCTCCTCCAGTCATCCCTCCATCCTCCTCCAGTCATCCCTCCATCTTCCCTCCTTCCTTTCTTCTTTACTTTCTTCTTCAGTCTTAATTAGCATACCTTGATTTTCATTTTTATTTTGTTTCAATTCATCCAAACTCCCATCTATCATCACTCCATCAATCCTTCTCACCTTTCAATATCTAGAAATCTATAAATTAGTCTATTTTTATCATTTTATACTCTTTTTCTTTTAATCTATTAATTTATGTTATTTTCTATCAGCATCTTTTCTCTGTTATTGTTCACAGTTTTAGGTGTTTCTTTAACTTAAATCCATCCGTCATTTATTTATTTTTAGCTGTATCTAGTTGAGCTGCTATTTCCTGGGAAGGAGTCGTCATGGTGGACTCATCAGCCAATCAAAAGAGAGCTTCAGAAACCATGTGACCACGTTGTGCTAGCTGCAGAAGATGCTGCTTGTGTTTAATGAAAGGTTGTTGTGGTTCGTTTTAAAAGTCTCGGATATTTAGTAGAGCATTTATGAGGGCAAAGGTCGGGCTGCTGGGTCTTGTTTAATGCATTTAGCGGCGATAACACATTTTTAGATATTAGCTGAAAACTCTGATCTTCTTTCAGTTTTTTAAATTATTTTTTCCACTGTTTTGTCAACATTTACCTTTTAGATCCTGATTATTTGATAGTTTTTTTGCTTTGCCTGAAATATTTAATTTTGTCCTCGTCCTGCTGGGCTTTTAAGGGTTTACCAGAAGAAATATTAAAAGTGACTAAAATCCAAAGAAAAGTAAAAAAACAAACATTCCACATTTATGATAAAATAATGTTTGTAAATCTTTTCTTCCCAGAAATCCAACTGGCAGCTGATTCTTGAATAATAAATCTCTTATTAAGCATCTTTTGCTGTTCAGTTATGAATCAGTTCATCAGAATAGTGATCAATATATTGGCTCTGTATTCCACTGAATGGAAACTTGGATTTATCTCAGTTTTTAATAATCAAATCTTTTGTTTAAATCCTCATTTTCTCTCTGATTCTTCCTGTTTTCCAGATGTTTCTTGTCTTTTTCTGTTGCGCTCCCTCGTTTTTTATCACCACGTTTCTTCAGTCATTCTATCAGGGTTTTTTTTTACAGCCTGTTTTTTCTCTTTATTATTCTGAACACGGAGCTTTGATATTAAATTTCTCTGTTTTCCTCTGATTTCTCGAGCCCCTCATTCATTCATCACTCCATGTTTCCATCTTCTCTTTTTGCCCCCAACATCCTTTCATCGTCTCTCCGTCTTTCAGACCGAACCTTTACCTCTGAAGCTCGTCTGTTTGTGTATTTGTGCAATCAGAACCGGTCGACGCGGCAGACCCGGTTTGAATGAGCAGAACCTCTGACCGCGGCTCTGCCTGTCGGCTGCCTGTTGGTTCTGTTTAGGAGACGGAGCGCGGACGGACATCCTGTCTCCTCCGCTCAGCGTCCTCTCCGTCTCCGTCTCGTTAGTCCTCCGGTTTCTTCTTCTGCGCTTTGCTACTGTTGGTTCTGGAAACCGTCAGAGGAAAATCCAGCTTCTCGTTTGGATGTTTACATGCCGATTAAAACTCCTAACCGTTGATTTAATCTTTGCTGGCAAGGCCCTTTTTTTAAAACAAATCTGGATTTTTTCCAGCAATGATCTCTTTGGGTTAAAAAGGTTTTTGAATTGAATATAGTGCTTACTTTGATGAAAAATTAGATCAATTAAATAATAATTTCAGACCTTGAAATTAACTGTATTAAATAACTTTAATAGCATCCTAATGGTTTTTAACTTTTTCTGAGCGCTGCAGGTTTCCCCTTCGTTTCACTTTAACGTCACAAAGACTGAAAATATCTTTATAATCCTTCCCAGTTTGATGTGCAGCAGCAATTGCTTCAGAAAAGTCTGAAACATTTCTGCAGTTTTAAATCTGGGGCATCATATAAACTTCAACAGTGATTTCAGGAAGCATTAAAACAAATAGAAATCGTATTAATTCCACCTTCATGTCGTGATCTGAGCTTCTGCAGCTTCTTTAAATGTTTCCCGTCTGAGAGAAGATAACTCCAGGAGGAATCTTCCTGTTTTCTGTCCGGCTGTCATCAGGACGGATTCCTGCACATCTCTGTGGCGTTTGTCAGGCGGCGGCGCCGATAAGGAGAGGAGATGATGTTTATTGATCCCTGAAGGTGAAACTGGGTCACTGCAGCAGAGCAGGAAGCAAAAACATAAAAATAAAAGCACGCAGAGAGGAGGACGGCACGGACCGTCCTGCTCAGCCTGCTCTGCGTGACTTTAGTTTTTATTCTGTTTGCTAAATTATTCATCCCTCTGGGGCCACAGTGTCTCTACTGGTTTTATGTGATAAACCATCACAAACTGGGTTATATTTCTACTGTGAAGTAAAATAGCTTCATTTTTATTTTACAAATAAACATCTGAAAAGACCAGCAGACATGTGAAACGTTCTCTGTGTTGGAGCAGAGATTCATCTAAAAGTTACAGGATAGTTCACAGCAAAGCATATTCATGTGTTGGAATGGTCTAGTCAAAGTCCAGACCTACAGTAGACCCCCGGTTCTCACAGGAGGAAGCAACTACAGCAAACCTACCTTCAAAAATGCAGAAGTTTGGCTAATATTTTAATAGTTAAAACATTAATACAGTGGAAACGGGCTGGGTAATCAATATCAGTATCTGCTGCGATAAACACATGATCGATTAAAAACTAAATAGTTCCACTGAACTGACATAGGCAGAGAAAAGACGTCTAGCTAAACATTGGACTTGATGAACTCACTCGCTCTTTCGTTACCTAGCAACAGCCTGAGGAGTAACTTGTTGTTGCCTAGCAACAACCTGTTGAGTTGCATGCGCAGCAGCAGTTTTAGGTTTCACCACTTTTCCTTATAAATGCTTAGAAATAAAAAACAAAGTGGATAGAAAATGTCACGCCACCATTTTGGAAGTATTTCAGACATTTAAAACTGAAAACTTATCAATACTTATCAATATTGATTAAAATACTGTGTCAAATAGCAGTGACTCAATCTACATTTTCTGTTACATAGATCTGATCTATGAGAAAAGTGATAAAAATGTTCTGATTCATTTAAATCCTGAAACGGGAATATTCAGTTCTATTCTGAACATCCGATTTCAGCAAAATAATTGACTAAACTTAATTTTCTAGATGTCAAAAGAGACTTCCTGTGTGTGAATCTCTACAAACTGTCTTCATGAGGGATGAATGCTTCTGCAAGCCAAAACTTTATCGATTTTTATGTGCTAAAAATATTGAAATCTCTCATTTTTATTCTGCTTTGCATTAGTTGTGTTGGTCTGACAGATAAAACACTGAATGGTACAAATACCAGATCAAAGCCTTTAAAAGGGCTTTTTTAGTGTGACACATCAAAGAGTATCGTCTAAATGTTCGTGTTTGAGGTGAAAATCATAATAGTTGACATCTGATTTTTTTTTTACTTATATTGTAAAGAAAAACTTGTAACTTTGAATATAAACAGTTTCACTGCTTTTAAAAGCAGAGGAAATCCCACTGATCAGTTCAAGGATCTGGCTTGATGTTGGAGATGAAAGAAAGAAAATCAAAGCTTGAATCAGATGTTTGAAGTGAGGTGAGATGTCGCCTGAAATAGATCAGGGAATCCACAGAAGGCATTATGGGACAGCGGCTGGCGGCACGAGGCGTCTCCGTCTGGTGGCTCTGCGAGCTGATTGGTCGTCTCGCTGCTGCTGCTGCTGCTGCTGATGATGATGATGATGATGATGATGATGATGATGATCCCTGCACATGTCAGCTGCCGTGATTTGATTGCTTTATTCATGTTTCACACACCGAGCGCAGAGAGGCGTTCGGCCGCCTGATGATTATCCTGATTAAAAACAAAACACCGCATTACGTCCTCCATCTTTAACAGGTCATTACAAAAAAACTATTATATACAAACTGAAGCAAGAGCTGGAGCTGCTAGTCAGCTAAACATCAGCTTTTTATGGCTGGACAACAAATCAATAACAATATAGACAGGTGATCAATATCAACAGATAATATGCGTGTTGGAGAATTCGCTGAGCTCTGATCCAGAACCGCACAGCATTCTGGGAGATGAAGGCGGAGGGAAGACTTTAGCCGGCTAGCATCAACAAACCAACTCGTTCTTTGGTTACCTAGCAACCAACTCATTCTTTGGTTACCTAGCAACCAACTCGTTCTTTGGTTACCTAGCAACCAACTCATTCTTTGGTTACCTGGCAACCGACTGCGCAGCAGCAGTTTAAAGTTCCTCCATTTTGACTCATAACTGCTTAAAAATGAAAAATAAACGGTGTGGAGAGGAAACTGGGTGAAACAGGAAACGTCACATTAACAGCTGGTCAGTATTTCAGACATTTAAAACAAAACAAAAATTAAAAATTATTGA